TAGCACCCGGTGTTGAAGAGTTGTAGTAAGAGAGGTGGACGCAAGGAAAGGTAAACCTATGCCAGTATAGCACCCGGTGTTGAAGAGTTGTAGTAAGAGAGGTGGACGCGAGGAAAGGTAAACCTATGTCAGTATAGAACCCGGTGTTGAAGAGTTGTAGTAAGAGAGGTGGACACGAGGAAAGGTAAACCTATGTCAGTATAGAACCCGGTGTTGAAGAGTTGTAGTAAGAGAGGTGGACGTGAGGAAAGGTAAACCTATGTCAGTATAGCACCCGGTGTTGAAGAGTTGTAGTAAGAGAGGTGGACGCGAGGCAAGGTAAGCCTATGTCAGTACAGAACCTGGTGTTGAAGAGTTGTAGTAAGAGAGGTTGACACGAGGAAAGGTAAACCTATGTCAGTATAGAACCCGGTGTTGAAGAGTTGTAGTAAGAGAGGTGGACGTGAGGAAGGTAAACCTATGTCAGTACAGAACCCGGTGTTGCTTTAATCATTGTATGTATGTGCGCCAGTGCATGAATGTGTTGTCGACAGTGAGGAGTCCTGGTCGCCCGACCCCTGACTCCTTGACCCAGAGATCCTCGGCGGATCCACAAACGTTAGTAAGCCTATGATAAACTATAGAGTTACGACAGGTCGTAACGGTACGAACTCTTTGTAGATCGGGAGTGTAGAGTACAAGCTTACCCTCCGATCAGACAGGCACAGGCAGGAATGTCTGGCATGGTGCAGGCTCCAAGAAAATCGAAAAGACCAGGGATACGTTGGTCTGAAAGGTACCATCTTCACTACGTTACTAACGGACCGAACTCCTTTAGCGGGCATTTCCTATGATTACGGAGACGTTAGTGTCTCTTTTGTTCAGAGTAGGATATCACACATTGTACCCATATGGGGAATCGAATCAGGGTCTTCGGCGCGACGAGCGAAGGCTTTCGCCACTAGGCCAACTCACACACACACACACACCCAACTTAAGCGTCCGCTCGTAACGCCGAAGTCACGGGTTTGATTCCCCACTTGGGCACAGTGTGTGAACTGCATTCCCCCGCGTCACCCGTCGTGATATTGCTGGCATATTGTTGAAAGCGGCGTAAAATCCACCTTACTGACTCGCTAGCTGAAATAAAAGTGTGAATTCGGAGGCTGCAAATAAGATGGTACATAGCCGACTTCTAACGTGATTTCAGCACAAATTCTATCCAAACATTGATCATTGTTGCAACAATAACTATGCGTTTTGTAATTTATGACTCGTTTTCAAATTTTCAAAATGACTCGGGGCGGTGGCGAAGCCAAGTGGTTAAAGCCTTTATCGTCACGCCGACATGTGAAGCCCATTTCTGGTGTCACCAGCCATGATATTCGAGGAATATTGCTAAAAGCGGCGTAAAAACCTCACTCACTCACTCACTCACTCATTGAAATGCTTATCGGCAAAGAACGAAGAAGAGTGTCTCTTCTACATAGAGTCAAAAACCGTTGTGTAAATACTTCGGCTTATCCGGGGTTCGACACTTACTCAAAATGATTATTAAAAAGGAATAAGTAGAGATCAAGCTGATACCTGGAGACATCTGTGGGTTCGCCACATCAGAGTTCCACACAAAGGTGTTTGATTGTGTGTGAGCTTCCACAGCGAGGAGCTGACATCGGCCCTTTGAGCAGTATTCCAACAATACCTAGAGGTTACACATGAACCATCAGGGGAATCGAACCCGGGCCTTCAACTTGACGAGCGAAAGCTTTAACCACTACACAAATGCTCTACATTGTTTCTTATCGCTGAGGAAGGGAAGTATATCTGCCACATGCTTTTCCGTCTGATCAGCCATCACTCTTTCAAACATCGCAAGTGTTGCATTTCGAATATACAACAGTAGGTAATAGAACGTGAACATTACATAATATATTTTGACAGTTTCCGTGGTGTAGTGGTTAGAGTGTCCGCCCGGAGAGCGGAAGGTCGCGGGTTCGATTCCCGGCGCGTCATACCAAAATAAGTTAAATTATGATACTTGTTGCTCCCTGCCTGGCGTTCGGCATTAATAGGTACAACAAGGACTGGTCGGTTCGGAGTCAGTATGATGTGTCTGAGTGGGGTATTCATGCTTAACTGCGGCATGGTATCTCAGTGAGCTAGCACTATAAAACCAGCTGAAGTCCTGGCTAGTACCAGCATCCACACATACACACGCATGCACGTCGTCATATGAACGAGATATTCTTAAGTATGACGTTAAACCCCATTTCACCTTCACCTCCACTATAGCATCGACTCATCCTCGATGATACAGGGTGATATATTTCTACAACGTTACATTATGTGCCCTAGAATCACTGATCCGAATCTTCAGCAGACCTGAACACTCATCTGCGAGAGGAACCGTGGAAAATAATGATAAAGATACATGGATATTCATCACTTCCCGAAATGTCACGACATTAGCATATAGGACGTAGGTATAAACATCCAAAGTGAGTGAGTGAGTAAGTTGAGTTTTACGCCGCACTCAGCAATAGTCCAGCTATATGGCGGTGGTCTGTAAATAATCGAGTCTGGAGCAGACAATCCAGGGATCAACAGTATGAACATCGATCTACGCAATTGGGATACGATGACAAGTGTCAACCCAGTCAGAGAGCCTGACCACCCGATCCCGTTAGTCGCCTCTTAAAAGTACGACAAACATTGGTTGCTGAAGATTAATTCTAACCCGGATCTGCACGGGTAAAACATCCCAAGAGACCCGAGAACATTATACACTGGATAACCGAATGTGGATATTCTTGTTTCATATTCCTCAAGGAGGGTCTGGAAATTAAGGATAAAGATCCTAAACTACAGCAAGGGAGAAACACTGGGGATAACACTTTCCTAGTAAAGTGCAGATTCAGGACCTTTTGGGAGTGTGTCTCATCCGGGATTCAAAACTGTATGTACCCTCAGAGTGAGACCGGAAATCCCCAGAACAAAATGTCTGCAATCTGGCTTCCTGGAGGTCCGGCATTGCATTGTCTAGTGTATGTACTTTGTGCACGCGTCTGTAGTCCCAAATATAACACCCAACATTTGATCACCTTCTTATCACGAGGATTTGGAGATTTTATGTGTGCTTTCCGACATGATGCTTAGTTTGCACACGGTTCAACGTTTTGAAAGACTGGACGTATTTATACCGACGGAGTGACGTGTGGATAGCATAGTGGTAAAAGCGTTCTCTCGTCACACCCAAGATCCGGGTTCGAGTCCTCAAGCGGGTACAATGTGGAAAGCCGGTTTCAGGTGTTCCCCGCCTTTATATAGCTGGAATATTGCTTAAAGCGGCTGACAATCATACGCACTCACGCACGCACGCACGCACGCACGCACGCACGCACGCACGCACGCACGCACGCACGCACTCACTCACTCACTCACTCACGCACTCACTCACTCACTCACTCACGCACTCACTCACTCACTCACTCACTCACTCACTCACTCACTCACTCACTCACTCACTCACTCACTCACTCACTCACTCACTCACTCACACTCACTCACTCACTCAACGTTGGACATTCGACACAGCAGTTTGAAATCTTTCTGTAACCCAGTCACTATTTCCTCCTTTGACTATTCAGGCGGTGGGTTATTGCACGTCACACACACTTGTGAAACCCGGAAATATTTCCCCTGTTGGTGATACCAGGAAGATTTGTTTTGCCTGTTTGTTCTTAGACGCCGCAGTATGACCTTCTGGATCTCAGCTGATTACAGAATGAAAGTGTACTTAAATCCTGACTATGTTTCCAGATTCTTTGTATGATCCACTGAAAAGTAGATAGAGCAAAGTTTGATTATTTATTTGTTTGTTGATTTACAACACTCAGCCACGTTCCAGCCGTTATGACGTTTGTGTGTAAATAATTAAGTCTGGGCCAAACAATCCAATGATCAACAGTATGAGCATCGACCTACGCAATTGGGATACGATGACATGTGTCAACCAAGTCAGAGAGCCTGACCACCCGATCCCGTTAGTCGCCTCTTACGACAAGCATGGGTTACTGAAGGCCAATATTCTAAAACATTGATTACACAACAGTCTCGTTTCCTGCTGACTGGGTTCAGTCCTATTGCGCAACTTAGTACAATAACCAGTCCAGAATTTTGAGACCAATTCATCAAACTGGATGCATAAATATTAATCAGTATTATTTGATACATCTAAGCACTTGTATATTGCAAAACTACGCTCCTTCTAATCCTCGATCGCAAACACGTCGTGCACCGTGCTCTGTCGCACAGCTTGCTCTCACAAACAGAAATCTGGAAATCGTGGAAATCTCAAAACGAGGCTCTGCCGCTAGAACCGTTTGGCGGTCTGGTATGGACTTGATATTATATCAATCATATTGTGCGGTACAAAACCACACTTAATAAGCGCAAAGAACACTTAACAGATGTAACTAGTGAGCCAGATGAATTGTGAATCATTTACGACCTCATCAAACAGGGGCAGTCTGTGACGTCTTAGTAAAGGTCATGCTGCCCACATCTCGACATAAAATATAGAAATACGATGTTATTAAAGTTTTAACTTAAAATTAACTTCTAATACCAATTTCTTATGAAACAAGGAATTGGAATTCAGTGTAATCATAGTTGTTTGTGGTGTCTCTTTTCACTTTCACACGAGAAAATTCGGATCGGCTGAAAAGTAGGTCATTGTCTGAATAGGTTAATGAGACTCATGTTTCGGTTTGGTTCGTCACAACGAATGCCCGGGTACAATGTCACCTCGGAACACCAGATGTCATATTGCTAAAAGTAAAAACGAAACTATCTCACTCCTTGTGATTTGTTTCCATATTTCTATATTTATACTTTTTAGATTTCTATAACTTCTTTGATTGGCGTATAAAATATTCACAGTACAGATTTAACTCCATTGTATTTACAGGGCCTCAGTCTTAGATAAAAGCTAACCTCTTTCTCCTACAATGACTGAAACCGCAAGAATACTGGACCTAGAGATATCTCCCGACCCCGTCGAACTTCCGGGTGAAATACAAGTTGCTTTCAAGGTTGTGAACCTGCAAAGAGCCGAGTCACCCATCAAGGTATCATGTCAGCATTTGTGAATGAAAGGAGTATGTGCAAGATAGATACATAAATCCTGTTAAATCACTTCTTCGCGGCAATTTATAATGGCCCCTCTTACTCTCAGATAGAACAAGGTTGCAGCGAAAAAAGATTTTAATGATATGTTTGCACGTATATAAAGTCATACATTAAAAGGTAGGTTGGTGTGTGACTCCTTGTCGTACTCCACTTTCTCTGTGTGAGCCCACTGAGATACCACGATCCAGTTTTACTGTGAGTCACTTCGGCAGTATGTTAGCTATTTTAAAGAAATACAGTTCGCTCTACCACCATGTATGGTGTAATATAGCACACTTTCGCCCTGAACTATTATAGTTTAAGCATGAGGGCGCTCGCGTTCGAGTACTGTAACGTTATAATAGATCAGGGCGAAAGTGTGCTTTATCACACTATACATAGTACTAGAGCGAACAGTATATTTTTTTTTTCTAAGATGCCAAATTTAATACTGACCGACGATAAATCTAAGGCAGAAAACAATCAGAAAAGCTACGGTTTCGGTAACCTACGTTAACAATCCCCGTTCAGAGCTTACTGACACACTGTTCTATTGACGTTTCCGTATATTAAAAGAAGTGTGAAGGCGAAAGCTTCAACCACTAGGCTACCGTATTTTGAAAGAATTGATATGGGTGAAAATAGAATGTCTTGCATGTTTTCTCCCCAGACTGACGTAACCCTGTGGAAGAAGGTCTTGGGCATGTCGATAGAAGCACCATGCAGGAACAACATGGGTTCATGTAGCTACAGAGACTTCTGTGGGTTGCTGGAACGAATCCCGTGTCCACAAGCTTTCAGAAAAAAACAAAATACCCTGCAAGTGTCCCTTCCCAGTTGTAAGTGTTGATTGCATTTTCAACATATTCTTAACAACCCATATGTTTCTAGAACAAATGTGTATAGTGAAGTATAAAAGTATATTTTTACAAACTGTTACATTGGAGTCGGGCGGGGGCATCCACAAGACACTAAACGCCAAAAGAAATGATACCCTCCTTCCTCAATGACGGAGGTACCTATCTTCAGCTGGCGTTGTGATGCGTGGACGTTCACTTCTTGGTCTGTGGACGGTGACCCCAGTCTGTCTGAATAAGTCTTATAACCCTGATACGGTGATATCCGAGGGCGTTGGCAACAGCATTGTATGTCGACCCAATCTGCACCGTCCCAATGGCTCTTTTACTCCCTTCAGCTGTTAATCGTGGCATATTTCTCGTATTAGATCATGTCTTCTTGGCTCTTTTTATAGCCTATAAAACCATTCTACATGTGAAATCAATGTAAATACTGCTTGAATATTGCTGCGTTTTGGCGATTGATATTGCTATGTGTAAACAAAAAAATTGAAAAATGATACTTTGCAAGCAAAAATGTTAACAAAGATAATTTTAGATGTTCCTAAACATTTTTTCACAATATCAAAGACACGTTTTACTTGTTTTCACTAATGCAAATCAGCAGAAAATGTTTTAAAGACTGAAATCATAGGAATGATTATTTTACAATTTTTTCACACTCTGCAACAGTTGTTTCTTGTTTAATAGCAGAATTTTATTTCAACCTTTCTTTTGGACATCAAAATCCGTATTATTGATTTATTTCGGTATGGACGAATATAGGACAATATAACTCTTCTGAAAAAGATGCATTTCACCTAAATATGAATGCATTTGAGAATTTATTTTCGTGATTTGCATAAAACTGTGTTGTTGAGCTTTCTTGTAAACTAAAACCTTCTAAAATATCTTTGATAGTTTTTCAGTAATTCATAAAGGTAGGAGGGTAACGTTTCTTTTGGCGTCTAGTGTAGGTTCACAAATTGCACTCATATCAACCAGGGTCTTCGGTGTGAGCGAAAACTCTAACCACAAGGCTACCCCACCGCCCCCGTTAAATTGGATGATAACACGAACAAGAAACCCATTTCGCCGCTTTTAGCAATATTCCAGCAATATCACGGCGGGGGACACCAGAAATGGGCTTTACACATTGTACCCATGTGGGGATTCGAACATGGGTCTGAGGGTTAATATATGGGTTTTGTCTCCTTTTCCTTACATATCACATCCAGTTTCGTTTTAATTTAAATTTGTATTTCAGGGAAACTACACACTTCCAACCACTAAGTTTGAAGTCAACCTGTCAACGGTTCCAAGTGGAGACTACCGCATAAGGATCAAGATGGGCTCCTCAACTCAAACTTGCTACGTGATATACTTTTCAGTTGACTGATCCAGGGCCTCATTTCACAAAGCACTAAGGTGATCGTAAGTCACTAAGGTGACCTTAGTGCAATGTTAAAGAATGGGAGTTAAGGTTTACCTTAGTAAAGCTTCCTTCGTGAAAGGAGCCCCATTACGACAGATCGAAAACCCAACAATTAATTCAAGCTTTGATATCTGATTCCTCGTAATATGTGTTAAAGAAGGCGTGCACGTAGTAAGCGTAAGATATAACAATTGTTGCAGCGTCCTATGTATTTTCTCTCGTTAGCTTTAATCTATATTGTCAGTGTGGCCGAGCCTCTGTCATGTTATAAGTCTTGTACTACTGATGCAAACACCAACGTCCATTGCATCACATTGAAATTCTTGCATTATTTGAATGTCACTCAATAAAACACGCAGAATACAAATGTGCTCTGTTTGTTGATATTTTAAGTTATTCCTATGACATTTGTTCATATACCATTACATTATTCTTATCGCTTCAAAAATCCAAGAATTCATATTTTTAGCAATTATACTGCGAATAATAGTTTTCAAAATAAAACATTCAATGAGTGTCTTTTGCATTGTAAGGTTGTTGGGAATAAAATATGTATTGTGTGATTCTACCGCACTGATTTGTACATGCTAGTAAGTAATATGTTGTATTTGATTTTTTTTAGATCCGGGTTAAAATTAGTCTTCAACAACCCATACTTGTAAGAGAAGGGTAGTCAGGTTTGCTGATTTGCTTGGTGCATGCCATCCTGTCCCAAATGCGCAGATCAATGCTCATGATATTTATCACAGGATTGCCTGATCCAGACTGGAATATTTACACGCCTCCGTCAAATAGTTTGAATATTGGTGAGTACGACGTTAAATGTACGAACGAGAGAGCAAAAAACAAACAACAAACAACAAACGAGTAGGCCATCAAACAAACAAGCAATCTTTAATATCGTTGTTGATCTATGACGTTTATCATCTACTCTGTAAACACAGGGAACCATGTTGAGCTATGACGTTTATCATTTACTCTGTAAACACAGGGAACCATGTTGAGCTATGACGTTTATCATCTACTCTGTAAACACAGGGAACCATGTTGAGCTATGACGTTTATCATCTACTCTGTAAACACAGGGAACCATGTTGAGCTATGACGTTTATCATCTATTCTGTAAACACAGGGAACCATGTTGAGCCATGACGTTTATCATCTACTCTGTAAACACAGGGAACCTTGTTGAGCTATGACGTTTATCATCTACTCTGTAAACACAGGGAACCATGTTGAGCTATGACGTTTATCATCTACTCTGTAAACACAGGGAACCATGTTGAGCTATGACGTTTATCATCTACTCTGTAAACACAGGGAACCATGTTGAGCTATGACGTTTATCATCTACTCTGTAAACACAGGGAACCATGTTGAGCTATGACGTTTATCATCTACTCTGTAAACACAGGGAACCATGTTGAGCTATGACGTTTATCATCTACTCTGTAAACACAGGGAACCATGTTGAGCTATGACGTTTATCATCTACTCTGTAAACACAGGGAACCATGTTGAGGCTATGACGTTTATCATCTACTTTGTAAACACAGGGAACCATGTTGAGCTATGACGTTTATCATCTACTCTGTAAACACAGGGAACCATGTTGGGCTATGACGTTTATCATCTACTCTGTAAACACAGGGAACCATGTTGAGCTATGACGTTTATCATCTACTCTGTAAACACAGGGAACCATGTTGAGCTATGACGTTTATCATCTACTCTGTAAACACAGGGAACCATGTTGAGCTATGACGTTTATCATCTACTCTGTAAACACAGGGAACCATGTTGAGCTATGACGTTTATCATCTACTCTGTAAACACAGGGAACCATGTTGAGCTATGACGTTTATCATCTACTCTGTAAACACAGGGAACCATGTTGAGCTATGACGTTTATCATCTACTCTGTAAACACAGGGAACCATGTTGAGCTATGACGTTTATCATCTACTCTGTAAACACAGGGAACCATGTTGGGCTATGACGTTTATCATCTACTCTGTAAACACAGGGAACCATGTTGAGCTATGACGTTTATCATCTACTCTGTAAACACAGGGAACCATGTTGGGCTATGACGTTTATCATCTACTCTGTAAACACAGGGAACCATGTTGAGCTATGACGTTTATCATCTACTCTGTAAACACAGGGAACCATGTTGGGCTATGACGTTTATCATCTACTCTGTAAACACAGGGAACCATGTTGAGCTATGACGTTTATCATCTACTCTGTAAACACAGGGAACCATGTTGAGCTATGACGTTTATCATCTACTCTGTAAACACAGGGAACCATGTTGAGCTATGACGTTTATCATCTACTCTGTAAACACAGGGGAACCATGTTGAGCTATGACGTTTATCATCTACTCTGTAAACACAGGGAACCATGTTGAGCTATGACGTTTATCATCTACTCTGTAAACACAGGGAACCATGTTGAGCTATGACGTTTATCATCTACTCTGTAAACACAGGGAACCATGTTGAGCTATGACGTTTATCATCTACTCTGTAAACACAGGGAACCATGTTGAGCTATGACGTTTATCATCTACTCTGTAAACACAGGGAACCATGTTGAGCTATGACGTTTATCATCTACTCTGTAAACACAGGGAACCATGTTGAGCTATGACGTTTATCATCTACTCTGTAAACACAGGGAACCATGTTGAGCTATGACGTTTATCATCTACTCTGTAAACACAGGGAACCATGTTGGGCTATGACGTTTATCATCTACTCTGTAAACACAGGGAACCATGTTGAGCTATGACGTTTATCATCTACTCTGTAAACACAGGGAACCATGTTGAGCTATGACGTTTATCATCTACTCTGTAAACACAGGGAACCATGTTGAGCTATGACGTTTATCATCTACTCTGTAAACACAGGGAACCATGTTGAGCTATGACGTTTATCATCTACTCTGTAAACACAGGGAACCATGTTGAGCTATGACGTTTATCATCTACTCTGTAAACACAGGGAACCATGTTGAGCTATGACGTTTATCATCTACTCTGTAAACACAGGGAACCATGTTGAGCTATGACGTTTATCATCTACTCTGTAAACACAGGGAACCATGTTGAGCTATGACGTTTATCATCTACTCTGTAAACACAGGGAACCATGTTGAGCTATGACGTTTATCATCTACTCTGTTGAAACGTTTATCACTTCTCTGGAAGGGAACCATGTTGAGCTATGTCGTTTATCATCTACTCTGTAAACACACAGAGAACCATGTTGAGCTATGACGTTTATCATCTACTCTGTAAACACAGGGAACCATGTTGAGCTATGACGTTTATCATCTACTCTGTAAACACAGGGAACCATGTTGAGCCATGACGTTTATCATCTACTCTGTAAACACAGGGAACCATGTTGAGCTATGACGTTTATCATCTACTCTGTAAACACAGGGAACCATGTTGAGCTAAGTGACGTTTATCATCTACTCTGTAAACACAGGGAACCATGTTGAGCTATGACGTTTATCATCTACTCTGTAAACACAGGGAACCATGTTGAGCTATGACGTTTATCATCTACTCTGTAAACACAGGGAACCATGTTGAGCTATGACGTTTATCATCTATTCTGTAAACACAGGGAACCATGTTGAGCTATGACGTTTATCATCTACTCTGTAAACACAGGGAACCATGTTGAGCTATGACGTTTATCATCTACTCTGTAAACACAGGGAACCATGTTGAGCTATGACGTTTATCATCTACTCTATAAACACGGAACCATGTTGAGCTATGACGTTTATCATCTACTCTGTAAACACAGGGAACCATTCATGCAACCTTGGCACGACAGCACCATATCGGCAAAGTCAACAACAATCTCGAACTGCGTCTTGCGATTCGCTTCAAATAGCTACTCCTTTCAGGAAGTTCAGCTGGATGATATTAATTAGCAAATTGATTGGAAATTACATCAATGCTTTCTCCCGGTACAAGTTGTGTTCATGCTTGGGGAAGACGGGTTCATAGCGTCAGTTTTTTAGACCGCCACACACGTTTGTTTCAAAATGATTAACGGGAAAACCCAACCCAACATGGACGATGTAATTTCATCTCAGTACAACACCAGGAACATTAAAACGCAACGAATGAATAGATAAAACATTTAGACAATCGCATTTCGGTGTTTGGCAGGAAAGGTTGCAAAGTGAGTGAGTGAGTGAATTTAGGTTTACGCCGCACTCAGCAATAGTCCAGCTATATGGCGGCTGTCTGTAAATAATCGAGTCTGGAACAGACAATCCAGTGATCAACAGCATGAGCATCGATCTACGCAATTGGCAACCGATGACATGTGTCAACCAAGTCAGCGAGCCAGACCACCCAATCCCGTTAGTCGCCTTTAACGACAAGCATTGGTTACTGAAGGTCAATATTCTGACCCGGGCCTTCACGGGTGGAGACAAGCATGGCTTACTGAAGGCCAATATTCTAACCCTGACCTTCACGGGTGGAGACAAGCATGGGTTACTGAAGGCCAGGATTCTAACCTGGACCTTCACGGGCGGAGACAAGCATGGGTTACTGAAGGCAAAGATTCTAACCCGGACCTTCACGGTGGAGACAAGCATGGGTTACTGAAGGCCAATATTCTAACCCGGACCTTCACGGGTGGAGACAAGCATGGGTTAATGAAGGCCAATATTCTTACCCGGACCTTCACGGGTGGAGACAAACATGGGTTACTGAAGGCCAATATTCTAACCCGGACCTTCACGGGTGGAGACAAGCATGGGTTACTGAAGGCCAATATTCTAACCCGGACCTTCACGGGTGGAGACAAGCATTGGTTACTGAAGGCCAATATTCTAACCCGGACCTTCACGGGGTACGACAAGCATGGGTTACTGAAGGCCAGGGCCTAGATTTTCGAAGCTCTCTTAGCGCTAATACTGTCGTAAG